GCGGAGCCCGAGCGCGCTCGGGGCTGCGGGACCTGCCCGCCTCGCCCCCTCACCTCGCCTCTCCGGGACTGCGAGCCCCCGCCGCCCCCGGCCGCTGGGAGTCGGGGGCAAGGAGGGGCGGGGAAGAAGAGCTGAGGAATGGGGGACGGGCTGAAGGGAGAAGTTTGACAGGTTTGTTGACTGTAAAGAGAGAAAACTTCCCAGGAATGAGGGCGCTTGGGGGGGCGGCGGCTGCGATGCCGAGGGAGATGCTGGCGCGGGGGCAGGGAGAGGAGGTCCGCGTGGGGCGCGGGGTGCTCCGGGGGGGGTGTCGAGCTCGACCCTAGGGCCGGCGAACCCCGGAGGGGTCACTTCTTACTGGGCCCCGCCTCGCGCCGCACGCCCCTTCCCCAGGCCTCTGCTCTCGCTCCCCTGCCATCCCGCCTCATCGAGCCCGCGCTCGGGGGCGGGGAGTCGGGGGGGAGATTAGACAGCGAGAGGAGCCTCTCGGGCCTGCGCTCCGGCGCTCGCTCGCACGTGTAAGGGGGCGGGAGAGCCGAGGTTGAGGACTTCCAAGGGACCGAGCGGTCAGAACTCGCTGCAGCCGGGCCTCGCGTGTCCGCGGGTCTCTGTCTCCCCCAACTTGGCCCGGGCAGAAGGGGTGGGAGAGCCAGCTGCAGGTGAGATGGCGTTTATCTGATTCTCTAATGCCACAAAAATGTCTTTGATGCCCCTGGCCCCCTCCCCACGGTGTGGGTGGGGGGAGATCAAAGGCCCCATGGGGAAGAGGGACAGTTCCATTCATCACGCCAAGCGGCTGGCAGCGGGCGGCAGCTGGCTCCTCCCCCGACGTGCCCCAGGGGTGCCGGGGGACAGGTGGTGCGGGACATTTCAAAGCAAAGGCCAGTCTCCATACTACCACCATCTAGAGTGGCCATTAACCTTTAAGGATGTCCTGGTGTGGGGAGGACAGATCGAAGACTTCAAGCCCACGTGGCAGAAACTTCAGGCACCTAGAAGAAAGCTCCTGGTCGTTTGGCAGGGACAAGTGTGGGGTCGAGGCTGAACTTGGAGACTGAGGCCACCGCCAAGACAGACAAACACCCCTGGTGAGCAGAGAAAGACAAGATTCTGAGTCCCTCAGAGAGTGTGGGCAAGTGGATCAAGATGAGGCTGGGGACCAAGGGAAGGCAGCGAAAGACCACAGATGCTTACCCCAGGGTGGGGAGGCAGATCTGGGAAAGGAAGCATGAGCAAGCAGAGAAACAATAAATGGAGAAATGGTGGCCTAGGCACATGAGGAAGCCCCTGGATTTTCTGGGAAGAAGGCAGCGAAAGACCACAGATGCTTACCCCAGGGTGGGGAGGCAGATCTGGGAAAGGAAGGATGAGCAAGCAGAGAAACAATAAATGGAGAAATGGTGGCCTAGGCACATGAGGAAGCCCCTGGATTTTCTGGGAACCCCATCCCAGGGCCCTGGTGTCTAGGCTGTGTCAGTCCAATCCCTTGTACTGGGTACAGAGAGTTCAGGTGAAGGGGCTGGGCACTCTAGAGAAGGGGAAGGGCTGGGGGGTAGGCAGTTGCTGAGGGAGATAGTGAAGAGGCCTTGCCAAGTGCTGCCCCCTCCCATTTTCGCCTTTAACAGCATCCAAATGCCTCGCACAGCCCTTGCACCTAGTAATTTTGTACACGGTTTCTGTTTCTGTATGGCAATGCCAATTCTGGACACTGCACATTCAAAGACCA